GATTGTCTTGGGTCTGTTTGATGAGCTACCGTTGCCCTCGGGTGCTCAAACATTACTCCGCCTGCTTTTATTTTATGCCAAAAAAGCTATCCTCCTAGTGTGGGGTACCCCAAAGGCCCCCCTCCCTGGGTGACTGGAAAAGGCTGGTGGATCAGGCATTACCCCTCTACAAACTTACATACGAACAACGGGGCACCCCACTCTGCTTCACTCAAATTTGGGGCCCCTGGCTCTCTTCTGCCAATACGAATATTGACTTTGTTTAAACAACCTCACTGCTCCGTAGCTTACTAGAGCTTTTAACATCCTCCGCACTACCTGCAATGCCTTGCTACCACTTACTGTGCCTATCAATACTGTGATACTGAGTATATATTAACCAGTAAATTATAGTCTCTGTTCTGGAGTTGTAAACCCAATCTGTATGTTGCATGACATTGTGTGAATTATTCTGGGCTGTTAGCCCATTGTCTGGATTTTAATGTTTTTTTTTTTATTTTGTTTAGGATGGAGGTATACCATAACCCCAGATGGGTGCACATGAACACCAGAAGAGCATGAGTAAAAAACGGATCTACTTTAATTCATGGAGATATCTCTGAAACTTGACAGGGGAACTCTGCAGGACCTTCCTAACCTTGATCCAGAACATGGTTCTAAGAATCCCATGAAGGCCTCCAACAGGGGGTATCTGCAGCAAGGCCCTAGCATGTTCTGCCTGTTGACAAGCCAGGGGAGCGCAAATCCCTCTGGTGCTGATTACTTCCAGCCATGCAGATAAGGAGCACCCAGGTGTCATGATTACAGGTTCAGGAGAGCCAGAGGGCAATGCATTGCCTCTAAGGAAGACACTGTTCGACAGTAGTTCTCACAGCGTGGTAAGGATCAGACCACTTGTTTTGTCACTGGGAGCACACCCAAACCTACCGGAAGATGAAGGGCCCACATCACCTAAGTGATTTCCAAAGAAGTCCAGATCAGGAAAGTGACTTGAACTGGGACTACCTGTTCTGGGGAATCAGACTTAAGCCCCGGGTATGGAAAAATCCACTCAAAAGGAGTTCCTCCAGGGCAGATGGAAGAGACCACCCCAGTCACCCAGAAGACTGATAGGTCAGGGACTTCTTGGTCCACAGAAACCATCAAAATGTCTCACTCCGAGCCCAGGCCTCCAGATATAGAGGGGGAAGCTGATAAGGAACAAGAGTCAAAGAGAGAAGGGGAAAAGCATGTTAGGAGGGTGTTCCCTCAACACCGTACAAGTTTCTGAAAGGGAAGGAGGGGGTATTTCTCTGACAGTTAGAGAAGGATCCAATCCCTCATAGAGTTACATAGTTACATAGTATTTGAGGTTGAATAAAGATAAAGGTCCATCAAGTTCAACCTTTGTGTGCGTGTGTGAGTTTGTGTGTGCGTGCGTGTGTGTGTATATGAGTCCCTGTGTGGTCTAGTTTTTAAGAGTACCTGTACCCCTGTATGTTATAGAGTGTTGACTTCTTTAGTGAGGGTTTGAGCTGAACAGCCTCGCACACTGGAGACCAATAGTTACCAACACTAAGCACCTGTGAGAACCTATCTGGCCGAAACTTGCAGGTGTTAGGCCCTTTAGAAAGATTCTGACTGCAAGAGTCCAAAAAGCAAATCCTCTGCAGGGAAGTTCATCTTAGTGTTCCACCATGGGGATGTTCCACTAGGATGGACATAAGGTCCAGTGCTTAGAGAAATAGCAGGTGCCTCTGACAGATACTGAGGAGTCAGGTCCCAAATAGGGAAGGGAGCAGTAGGAACTGGTCCCAGTTGACCTTGTAGTTCTGGAGGTCCCTCTGGGGAAGGGGGATGTTCAGGATTACCAATTACCACGAGGGTTACCAAGGAGGTAGTGTAGCTCCATGTGGGGTACTACCTGAAGCCAACTTCCCACAACAGGAACAAGGGGCCCCAGGGTGGGGGAAACCCAGACATGCCTAGATAGATGGCATGCTGTGTGCACTAACACCAGGCCAGCTGAATATGATGCCAGACACAAGTGGTTAGCATATGGTCTAAAAGGGGTCATGTGAACACCCAAATACAGGGGAGGCACACTAACCAAGCACCCAAAAGACCAGGGGCATATCTGCCGTGAGGCAAACAAGGCGTTTGCTTCGGGCGGCAGATTTAATGGGGGCAGCAAAAATGCCGTTACCAAAAACATTTAGGCAGACGGGCTGCACAGAAACCGGCAGCCTGGCTGCCTAATGTGAACGGGGAAGAAGCGACGGGCGGGGGGACGGAGCGGCAGGAGGCAGGGGGCGAGACAGAGGAGATGGGGGCGTAGATGGAAGAGGCGGGGTGAAGACTGCAACGGAGGAGATGGCGATGGTGGAGGCAGGAGGCATCGCAGAGGCTCCAGTCGGGCGGCGAAGCTATGACTATTGGACGCCAAGGCAGCGGAGGAGGCTGGGTTCCCCGTGCCAAGTAGGAGGATGACTGTGCTGGGAGGGCCCAGCATAGACTCTGCACAGCCCACCACAAATCCTGCACAGCCCCCCTGAGATCCTGCAGACTGCAGGATCTTAGGGGGTCTCTGTAGGATCTTTGGGGGGTTTTGCTGGGTCTCAAGGGGGCTTTGCAGGATCTGTGGTGGGCTTTGCAGGTTTCAAAGGGGGCTCTGCAGCCTGCAAAGCCCACCACGGATCCTGCACAGCCCCCCTGAGATCCGACAGACTGCCGGGTCTCAGGTGGTCTCTGCAGGATCCTTGGGGGGCTTTGCCAGGTCTCAGGGGGTCTTTGCAGGATCTGTGGTGGGCTTTGCAGGATCTTTGGTGGGCTTTGCAGGATCCATATGGGGCTCTGCAGCCTGCAAAGCCCACCACAGATCCTGCACAGTCCCCCTGAGATCAGGCAGACTGCAGGGTCTAATGGGGTCTCTGCAGGATCTGTGGGGGGCTTTTCAGGGTCCGTAGGGGGCTCTGCAGCCTGCAAAGCCCCTCACAGATTCTGCAGAGTCCCCCTGAGATCCTGCAGGTTTATATATACTTTAGTTTTAGTATAAATGTTAAAAAAAGGCTGTAAATAGGAATCTTTGATCATTGGCATGTAGATGATGTGACCATAAAATGATCCTTTATCAAATTAGCTGCTCAGGTGTTGGAAAAAAAATAAGATAAAATTGATTAGGAATAATGAGGGTGTCAACAAATACATTTAGACAAATCTGGATGCCAGATCATGGCAGGAAAAGCCTGTCTTGCATGTACAAGCAAGCATGTACAATCTTGTATGTTTCTATGCAAACCTGTTTAAAAAATTATTTTAAATTGTCATGTTCATGTGGACTGTCTTTCTTTTTAATACTCATTTGTGGGTTTCTACCTAAAATCCTGGTTGGCTTTGCCCTTGTTGCGTCCTATCACACTTTGGGCAATGTATGTAGGCTGTCCTAGGAGTATTTCTGTGAAGGTTCTCATTCATCCAGGTCATGGTATATCTGTATAAAATAAGTCAAGGCAACTGGACTTGCTGTATTTTTCTTGAATGTTCTTGAAAGTTTGATCTGATTAGTGAACCAATGAACAGAGATGAACAGCAAGAGAAGACATTAGAGAGTGTAGACTCTACTTGTGAGAAGCTCTAAAATGTATCTGCAGTAAATTAAATAGAACTTAGATTAAGGTAAATTAAATGAAGGTACAGTAGTGTATGTATATTTACCTGACAGTAACAGTAATTACATGAACACTTGGTTGCTGAATGACAGGTTTACTTTAGAGTAGGGATGCACCAATATATATCGGCCGCCGAAACATATCGGCCGCAAATGGCACTTCACTATAGCCTGTACAGCTCCTGAAGGCGGCCGAGTGGCTCAGCCGAGCCGAAGGCATATCCTTCGGCTCGACTGAGCCAAAGTGACACCTGAAGCGGGTCGAATGGCCGGCTTTGGCAGTCATTCATGTTCAGCTGACTGAAATCAGCCGTACAAGCCTGAAGTGAATAGCCGAACAGCGTTCACTTCAAGTGGGTTATTCACTCGGCTGCCATCAGTAGCTTTGTGAATAACCCTGTCAGTATAGAGGATTCCTGTTCATTGATAACAGGGGCTGCAGAAAAAGAGATTGGGGACTCTGTGTTCTCAATCTCTTTTTCTATTTAAAAGCGAAATATCAGGGATCTGTTTAGACCCTTAACATTTCCCCCGAAGCCCCTAAAAGTAAAGTTTAAAAAAAAATATTTAATACAATAAATACATTTTAAAAAATAATTATAAAAAAATTAAAAAGTTAGAATAAAAAACATTTTCGGTTTCGTCCTGACATTTTTTTTAATTTCGGTTTCGAAATTTTAATTTCGGTGCACCTCTAATTTAAAATGCGTGTATAGCCATTTTTTATTTGGATAGGACAGGTCAAAACCCTGGTCAGTTTATTTCTTACTGTCGGTATCCTGTTAAGGAGATTTCCTTTCACTTTCTGTCCTGCTTCTGAAACCTTTACAAAATGAGGGACAACTGTCACTTTTTCTGGTGACAGTTGTCACCAGAAAAGATGTCTCCCTTGGAAGGTTTTCTCTCACCTTCTGTTCTGGTGACAAGTGTAAAATTGTGGATTTACCCATCACCTACTGTCTTGCTGATTATGGTCACCAGAACAAAGAAAGGGTAAATCTACATAGCTGGGGCAATGTAAACTTGACAGGGTTTACATCCCTTCCATACTCCCAAACTATGATTATGTGGCTACTCATATGATAAAGAGTATCAGATTCACATAGGCTCTCAACAGAGAAGCAGTTGACAGTGGGCATTACACAAAAAATGTTATCCTGTGTGAATGTCTAATTAGGTAGCAGAAAGAGGGAAGAACTGAAAAATGTTATATTATTTATATTTTATCCATACATGCAAAAGTAGATGGAGTTTCATGGTCATGGTCATGGTCACTTGTGTTTTATAAATTAAGCTGTATATACTGTAGCATATACATTTTTCATGTATTTTTATGATTTTTTTTTTTTTTCAGGATGTGGAATTTTTATTGTCCTTTCTTCGGTCATAGCTGCTATAAGTGGACTACTTGTGGGCTATGAGTTGGGTATTATCTCTGGGGCCCTTCTTCAGCTACATAACCAACTGCACCTTAACTGTCAGCAGCAAGAACTAGTAGTGAGTGCACTGTTGATTGGAGCACTTTTGGCCTCACTGGTTGGAGGATTCCTTATAGACTACTATGGAAGGAGAATCGCAATTATGGTTACATCTTGTATACTTGGACTTGCCAATTTGCTGTTGATCACCATTGTATCCTATGAGAGCCTCATTGCAGGACGCATCATCATTGGCATTTCCATATCCTTATCTGCAATTGCTACCTGTGTTTATATTGCGGAAATTGCACCTCATCATAGAAGAGGCATGCTGGTGTCTCTAAATGAACTGATGATTGTAGTTGGTTTTCTTCTGGCCTACATTTCTAATTATCTCTTTGCAACTATTAGCAATGGTTGGCAATACATGTTTGGACTCATAATTCCTTTGGCTGCATTACAGGCATTTGCTATGTATTTTCTCCCTCCAAGTCCTCGTTTTTTAATCATGAAGGGCCGAGATGAGGCTGCTGGCACAGTGCTTCAGAAACTAAGAGGAACCTCACAGACCAAGGAAGAGCTTACAGCTATCAGATCCTCGATAAAAGCAGAATACCAATACAGTTTTTGGGACTTATTTTGCTCAAGGAACAACATGAGAGCCCGTCTGTTAATAGGCATAGCTCTTAGCTTCTTTGTCCAAATTACAGGGCAACCAAACATCTTATTCTATGCTTCTACTGTACTCAAATCAGTTGGCTATCAGAGCAATGAAGCTGCTAGCCTGGCCTCAACAGGAATTGGTGTTGTCAAAGTGGTCAGTACAATTCCAGCAATATTGTTTGTAGACAGAATTGGTAGTAAGACTTTCCTTTGTATTGGGACTGCTGTCATGGCAGCATCATTGGTTACAATGGGAATAATAAGCCTTAAGATTGATATTAATTATAATAATATTTGTAAAACCAGCCCCAATCTAAACCAGTCCTTTGAGGACTCCTACCTGTACAAAACAGACATAATTGGCAAAAACAATGAGTCTCTACAGAAAGAATTCGGTGAATTGTCATCAACCAGAACATTCTTACCTCATTCTTCAGGAAATGAGACCAAAATGGACCAATGGACTATTCAGACAGGACTCACACCCTCTGAAGAAGCTGTTACAGCACAAGCACAAGGTGTTCCAGTAATCATGAAGTGGTTGTATTTAGGCAGCCTACTAATTTATGTCGCTGCATTTTCGATAGGTTTAGGACCAAGTAAGTGTCATTGGTTTATCTTGACTTTTTCAGTAGTTTTTAAGGCAGGTGATAATATAGTTTTTAGTGGTGGCTGAGCCAGGAGTCTTATATATGATTGCAGACCTTGGTGGCTGCATAGTTCTGTACAACTGACATAATATAAATAGGCACAATCAACCTACAATATGTTGTAATGTTAATCTCCTATTGTTTCTGCTTGACAAAATAGATAAGACGTATATACAGGTGAAACTCGAATAATTAGAATATCGTGCAAAGTTCATTTATTTCACTAATGCAACTTAAAAGGTGAAACTAATATATGAGATAGACTCATTACATGCAAAGCAAGATAATTCAAGCCGTGATTTGTCATAATTGTGATGATTATGGCTTACAGCTCATGAAAACCCCAAGAACCCCAAATCCACAACCTCAAAAAAGTAGATTATTACATGCAATCAATAAAACAAGGATTGTACATAGAACAATGTCGGACCTCTGAAAAGTACAAGCATGCATATGTACTCAGTACTTGGTTTGGGCCCCTTTTGCAGCACTAACTGCAATTACGGTACTTTTGCACGATATTCTAATTATTCGAGTTTCACCTGTATATGATGAACTGGCTACAGGCCAGATTTGATCATGGGTTGTTTGGATGCTTAGCATTGCCTTTAACTGTACACTACTTCTTCCTGCGCACACCTCTCTAGGCTTTCATTTGATATCTGATCCATAACCTGTTTCTCTGTGTTCAGTTCCCACTTTGTAGTTTCTGTATTTAATCGAGTACCTGGTGAGTGCTGCTACTCTTGAATGTGTGTTCACTTTAACTCTGTCTCTGTTGTTCAGTCTGTTTTTCTGTCTCAAATGTGCCCCCAGGGAGGGCCACTGCCTAGGATTGTCATCAAAACAACTCCAACTCCACCGCCAGGAGCTCTGGCAAAGACCTAGCTCCTTCACAGTGAGCCATTGCCATCTGCTGGTGACGCAACTTGTAGTCTCTGTTCCCTCTGCCTGTTTGTATATTATAGGCATCTAGTCTACTTTTTAAACAGTTTTGACTCCTGCCCTTGGAATGCTTCCACTTTTGGCATTTGACTCTCACAAGTTAATTTACTAAAGGCAAATAGGTTGATTACTTTGCAAGGGAATATGCACTTTGCAGGGAATGTTTCCCCTTAGCTTAGCATGGTGAATGTGGTGAAATTTTACTTTCCAAAAAAACCACAATCATCTGCAAGGAAAATAAAAAAAAAAGTATATTTGCTTGCACATGATTGGTTGATGGAAGCCAGCAGTACTTTTTCCCATTCACTAAACTAAGAGGAAACTTCCCCTGTAAAGTGCAAATACCTTTGCAAAGTGAACAATCTATTTGCCTTTAGTAAATCAACCCCTAGTATCTCCTCACACTATCTGTTGGCTTTTTGTTAAGATTACGTCTATTCTTTTCCTCCGACCTGCACTAAGAGTGCTCCCAAACCCCAAGCAGCAGTCTCCTGCTGTTCCTGACAAAAACAACAACGAGAATGAAGTTCTGTATTTTAATATTAATTCAAAGTATTATCACCATTTAACAGCCATTTGAGTCGCTGTTACAACTAAAACAGCATTAGGATAGCAGTTCTTTGTCCCAACACTAGTTTAAAAAAAGTGAAAAGTGCAGCACCACATTTACTTCCTGGGTCTCAAATTCTACTACAGAGCATTTTATAAGAACAACCAGTAGCACAATGTAATCACAACATTATCTAAGATATCAGCATGACTTTCCTATGAGTTAAGGCAGCCGTCTTAAAGCTTTGCCCTGCTTCACCTGCAGCAACAGGTCGTTTCAATAAAGTTCTACTGCTTGCTATTTTTACTGGTTATTAAAGAAGAACTCCGGGCAAATAAAAACGTAATTCTTGCAATGGGGCTACCCCCCCCCCCCCCATCTCTGCTAAATCAGATTGCTGAGGTGCCCCTTCAAAGGGCCAATATAGTGAGGGGAATTTATTAAAATGGAGCAAACAGAATTTGGAGCAGATGTCCAAGGTAACCAATCAGCTTTGATCTATCATTTTCATTTTAACTGAACAAACCAAAGAAATTCGATGATTGGTTCCTATGAGCAACTGCTCCATATTCTGTCTGCTCCAGTTTTGATAAATCCCCCCCCCCCAGTGTACTTTTGGAACAGAGAGACACAACGTTTGTACAGCACTACTTAGGAGGAAGAACAACTTGCATAGGTATTGAGGGAATATGACTGACCCTTTGTTAATACTTAAGTACAAACTATACATGGGAATACAGTTTTTAAAATAACACACATTGATAAGATTGATTAAATCAAATGGATTACTTAAAACATTAAAAGACAATAGTTCCCTTTTAAAATTAACTGGAACCACAGCATTCTCAAAAGCAAATTCTGCAACATTTTCAGGCATTTCCTTAACCCATCCAACACAGCAAAAATGTTTTTTTCTCACATTCACTCATTCTCCTATATATTAGACATGTAAGCTGCAAAAAAACTTGGTTCGGTTCGGATATTTAGTTATTTCAGGATTCGGATCCGAAATTAAATTCGTTTCAGGTTTCGGATTCGGACGATGCCGAATTTTTGTTAGTTTTGGATGAGTTTACGAATATTCGTTGGGAATACCACAGAAAACCATATACAGATATTAATACTAAAGCTGAATCTCCTAGACCCGAATGGCATTCGGGATCCGAATTTCCAAATTGCATTCGGGAATCGGGAGCTCCAGAAAGCAACACCGGTCTGTAAGCCTCAGCTTCAGTAATATATGTATATGGCTCCCAGACTCGAATGGCATTTGGGAGCACCCGAATGCAATTTGGAAATTTGGCTCTAGGAGCCTCAGCCTTAGTATTTTATGTATATACTGTATATGGCTCCCATGTTGCAGTAATGAAAATTTGTGTTCAGACCCATTCGGATGTATTAAACTGAAAAACACATCTGATTGGCCAGAAAAGTTACATGTCCGATTCAGTTTAGTTTTTGAACGAAATACGGACAGGATCCGAAATTCAAAAACGGATGTGTCCGAATTTCGGAAAATTCGTCCGAATTTTGATTCGGAATGAATCGAATCACGCATGTCTACTGTATATGTGACTTAAAACAGATGCTGTAAAGGTTTACCAATATGCACTGGATGACACCATATATAATTTCATTTAGAAATAAGATCTCACAAACAATTGCAGATCCTCAGATTACAAAGCCAGTAAGGATGTCAACTCATTTTCATTGACTAAAAACTAAAACATCAATTTTGGTTAGATAGATTTTGCCTTCACTTTGATATCCTTCAGCTAGTTGGTGAACTGTTCTGTTTTTCTGTGTTTTAGTGGCATGGCTGGTGCAGAGTGAGATCTTTCCTGCGGGTATTAAAGGTCGGGCCTTTGCAATAACTAGTAGCATGAACTGGGGCATGAATCTCCTCATATCCTTGACCTTCCTTTCACTCACTGGTAAGAGTTCCATTTTAACTTGGTTTTGATTAATTATATGCTTTCTAATTCAAAACACTAATATAAAAAATATATGGAAACACAAAAAACAGAAAAGAATTTAATAACATGGAGAAACCCATAGCAACTAGTTAACACACATCTTGCAATGAGCTATCTGACAATAGTTATTTGATATTTAACTGGCTGCCTTGGCTTTCTTCTGTTTGTGCATAGGACAGTGCTCGTTTCAATGATTGATAAATAAGCCCAGTTAAGACTTTAAATTAATATTTAATAGCTCTTCAATACATTTTTCATAGAATTCTTCATTGAAGGAGTTCTAAAGTCCCAGTATATACTATCGAGTTTAAGATCAGCATTGTTATATACATGAGATACATACTATAGTTCTTTTTCATGATACAATCAAATCTTATTCAAAATAATTCCTTTTATGTAGTGAGTGCTGCCCAGTGGCGTCACAAGGAGGGTGCGGGGGAGGGGGGGGCAACAGACCCGGGTGACACCATTGGAGGGGTGACACCAAAATGACTGAGAGTCATTTTGGTGTCACCCCATCTGAAAAGTTGGGCACTTGGTCATGGACTGAGAGCCCGACAGCTGCAGGCGAGATAGAAGGGGACCCGGTGGCATACCTTATCCCACTGGGCAAGCGTCAACTCCAAGTATCAAAAAGATGACCACGCATGCGCTATAACATCATTACGTGCTGACGTCACGAGCATGCGATATGACGTCACAGCGGGGTGTCACCCGGTATCTGCTCTGGGTGACACCCGCCCTTGGGACACCCCTGATGCTGCCTTCTGTCTGCCCATCTCTTCAACAACTTCCTGGATTCCCAGTGTGCTTTGTGTCAATTTCCCAGTTGCTTGATGTGATGCAATCTTGATTTCTTAAGACTACATATCTCATTACGCATTGCTTCTAGCAAGCAGCTACGATGTTACCTTGTTAGAAGTTTAGGCATTGAGTTCAGATGGAAGGCATAGTTAGAATAGTGACACATAAAAAGTGCATAGTCACAGGACTGAGTGAAATTGTGTCAGTGCATTGAGGAAATACATCCTATGGTCATCTTCAATGAGTATGTTTACAAATGTCTAGCTTGATATGGTTATTAGGAATGAGATAGAACTTATGGAAATATAATATAGAAATACATATTTATTTAGAGTTTCTGACCATAAATACAACTTAAAGCAGAAGCAAAGTGTAAAAAAAATGAGAGGTAGTGATTTTTGGCAGAAGAGAAATGCAAAGTCTACAAACTCAGCCCATTCACGGCATCTCTAAGATGCTTGAATGGGCTGGGTGCTGTGGAGGATGTAACTCCTATGCACATGTGCAGGAGTTACATCATCAGTTGGTCACCCAATGGCTGGAAACGACATCCGAGAACCCAGATATGTCAGTGGCAGAGATGGAGTCGGCGGGGGACAAAAGTGAGGACCGAAGATCAATCTGATGGCGCTGGAGAAGGGCTGACTTTAAAGGTACGTGTGTGCCAATGTGCAAGTATGCACAGCAAAAACAACCAAAGTTTTTTACTTCCGCTTTAATCAATGTACATTCTACAAAGGGGTCCAGAAAATCGAAGTCTATTTGTGCACTGATTTCTCAATGAAAGATTGATTTACTAATGTTAATGTTAATGTTATGCTGTATTAAAGCAGGTGTGTTGCGAAACACAGATTTTTGTGTTGATACTGTAAACTAATCTGTCACACAACAGAATATTGAAAGCCACGTCATATATTTCATATCAGAGATTAGGCAAATCTCACTCACGCCTGGAATTCACTAACACTAAAACACATATTAAATATTTAATTTTGATCTGATATAATACAGTTTATTAAGTTCAAGGTCCCATCCAACACACACATAGTGACATACCCAGCAGAGGGTATATGATGAAAACTGAATTTAGAGAATCTGATTTAAGTGGCCAGTCTACTAGTTCACATAAGGTGCCTGTAGGTGTAAAATGACATTCCTTCAGTAGGCGAGACACACATATACTTATTAGCACATAAAGATTTTGATGTTTAACCTAGGCTTATCTTTACTTATGGCAGGGATCTATGGTGGGCTGTGCAGGGTCTCAGGTGGGCTGTGCGGGGTCTAAGGTGGGCTGTGCGGCGTCTAAGGTGGGCTGTGCGGGGTCTAAGGTGGGCTGTTCAGGGTCTATAATGGGCTGTGTGGGGTCTATGGTGGGCTGTTCATGGTCTATGGTTGTCTGTGCAGGGTCTATGGTGGGCTATGCAGGGTCTCAGGTGGGCTGTGCGGGGTCTATGGTGGTCTGTGCAAGGTCTAAGGTGGGCTGTGCGGCGTCTAAGGTGGGCTGTGCGGGGTCTAAGGTGGGCTGTTCAGGGTCTATAATGGGCTGTGTGGGGTCTATAATGGGCTGTGTGGAGTCTCAGGTGGGCTGTTCATGGTCTATGGTGGCTGTGCAGGGTCTATGGTGGGCTGTACAGGGTCTATGGTTGGCTGTGTGGGGTCTTAGGTGGGCTGTACAGGGTCTATAGCGGGCTGTGTGGGATCTCAGGTGGGTTGTAGAGGGTCATACAGCTATTTAAGGATAACATTGAAATCTGAAGAAGCTTACGCGTTAATGTCTCATGCATGTGCACTGTTTGCTAAGCTGTTGATAGTTTATAAAGCCCACCTGTAACTCTTTTCAAAAATAATAAAAAATAACTCCGGGTATAGTTATTCTTAGCGATGCACCAATTACATTTTTTGCAGACCGAATATGAAAAACCAATACTTTTCCTCAAGTATTACCGATACTTTTAGGCTTGGTTCACACCTGGGTGTATTTTTTCTGCTTGTTTTTCAGCTCGTTTTTTTTGCGTTTTTTAGCACATTTTCCGTTCAGTGAAACGCACGTGTCACTGGCGGTATGAAGTGACCTACACTAAGGGGTTATTCTGTAAGCTGCCAAAGGCAGCTGAGTAATTAGCCGATCCGAAGTGAGCTAAATTGAGGGTGAGTGATATAGCGGCCGAACGGCAATGGGTGAATAGCCGAATGCCCCCGAACGTCATCCAGCTTGATTATTCTGCTTGCTACCTCCGAGGTAGTGAGCAGAATAAAAAAATTTAAACAAAAGAATAATAATAATTTTTATAAAACGGCATTGGGTCCCCCTCCAGATCCATACATAGGAAAGTTAGGAGGGACGTTAAGTTAAAAAGTAAAAAGTGCATGGGGTTCCCCCAAAAGTTGTTAGGTCTTATAATAATCTTAAAGGGGAACTCCAACCCCCATAAATGGGGGAAAAAAGTGGGGCCCCTCCTAAAATTCTCAACCAGACCCTTAATACGTGCCCAAGCCTGAGAGTGCAGGAAAGGGGGGGACGAGTGAGTGCCCCCCCCCTGCACCATACCAGGCCACATGCCCTCCGCATTGGGAGGGTGCTTTTCAGGGTTCCCTTCTGGAAAAGCACCTTGTCCCACCTTTCCCCATTTTTTGGGGGTGGAGTTCACCCTCAAAATTCCTATCAGACCTAAAGGGCCTTGTATGACTTTTGGGGGGAACCCCACGCACTTTTTTTTTAACTTGAGGGGTCCCTCCTAACTTTCCTACCAGACCTAAAGAGTTTGGTATGGATCGGGAGGAGGATCGCACACCGGTTTTTTTTTTCTTCGGCAGACCATTCTCCATGCTTCGGCTGTGTGTTCAGCTCAGGCAACCGAACAGCTCAGCCAAGCTGAACGTAAATGCTTCGGCTCGGCTGCTGTACGGGCTATTGTGAATACCAAAGGGCTTGGCGGCCGAAGTGAACAGAAGGATTAGCCGAAGCTTGACCCTCTAGTTATTATGTCTGTGAAGGACCTCTAGTTATTAGTTCTACAAATGTTCTGGAATCTCACAGTGCAATGTAAGCATCTCAGGGGCCAGCAGACAGTTTTCTGCATTTCATTGTGGGATGCAAGGGGGTTCAAGACTATGTGAGAAATTGTCTCTTCACACAGTCTTGTGTTACTGGCAGGATCATCAGGTAAAAATGAAGGAAAAAAGCATAAAAAAGAAAACTGATGCAACCATCACATCTATGGCTGCAATATATTACAGTTTTGTTTTGGGGTTTAGATACACTTTAAACACATATTTTGACAATACAACACATAAAATCAATGTATTTTTACATTTTCAAACCATTTTCACCAATTTGAAAGTATAACAATTGTGTCATTCTGTCTCCTTTATATGAACAGAGATTATTGGCTTGCCATGGATGATCTTCAGTTATGCTGCAATGAGCGTAATAACTTTTGTATTTGTCATAATGTTTGTTCCTAATACAAAGGGACGGTCACTAGAGGAAATATCTACGGAACTGGCAAAAAAGTAAGTGGATCTTCCTGCTGTTAAATATTGTCTTTGCACTAAAGGAGAAACCCAGACAGCTCATTCTTGTCCTGATTAGAGATGTGGCTGGGCTTGGGCAAAACAAGTTTGCCCAAGCCTGGTCAAATCTCTGATCCCCAACTTCTCCTCCCGACCCAATCAGTGGCGTCAGTTGAGGTGGGAACTTTCCACAACCCTTTGTAAAATATATCTGCAGGACAGTAAATTTACCTCCCAGTAACTCGTTGGTTAGGGAGGAGGAGGTGGCGGTCAGATTTTTGAGCGGGCTTGGGGGAACTCAGGCGAACTGGGTTCACACCAAGTCCAGCCTCATCACTAGTTCTGATATTCTCAGTAATTTAACTGAGAATTTAATTTAACCCCAGTTGAGCAGGGTTACTCAACTGGGGTTCCGCAACAGGCCAAGGTGCCCAGGAGGAGGGCTGGCAAAGACAGAGTAGTTCTGGGCAGACGTGGCATTAACACTTCCCCCAGCACCACTGCAGCAACCAAACCAAATGTTTCCTTTATCCTGACTGTTTGTTTTGTAAGCACTGTCTGGCAGTATATTTTCTGCCTGACCGTGTCTGAATAGTTCAGGTGGATTAAATAATCCCCTGACGTCAGGTTCAGTTTGGCAATGGGATAGAAGCTGCTCCCGCTCCAGTTAAGTAACAACAACCCAATAGCAATTCTGGGACATTATATTTGCACTAAAACCAAGGCATAATATTCCTCCTGACACCCTTATAGTATGCACCATAATCAGTGGGAATATTTTACTTTGCTGTAATTGGGAGTACTGAATGCCCCATTTACAATGGTGTCGGTGGAAGTAGGCAATGCCCCATTTACATTGGGGAAAATGGCAGGTACATACACTACTCTAACTTACTAAAGGCTCATACTACTTTCACTGAGGCCAATGTGAGGGCATTATTTTCTTACGGACATCAGTATGAGGGACAATATTTTCTCATTGACACCACTTTCTACAGTCCCGACATGTTCTGCAGCGCACAGTACACAAGTATTTTAGGCTTCTGAACGTCAATGCAAATGTATGCCATTGTATTCTTCCCAGAAAAAAAAAGCACTAGTTTAATATTAGAAAGGTTGTTTTTATTATTTATTCAAATGTTTTGGTTTTTATATCTAAAAATTATTTCAGGGGCTCCCTGAGACCTAAAATATTTTTAAGGGATTCTCCAGGATAAAAAGGTTGAACACATCTGACTTAGAGATTTACTTGCAGCAGGTTACTTCCTGAGTTTATAGCTTGCAGAAGTTACAGGGGTTACTTCAGTGGCGGAACTCATGGGTCGCTATGGCCCGAGACAGAGGGGGGCCCGGTCAAGAGCAGGGCTTACAATCCTCCCGGGTCTCGGCATACTATACTTTTGTCCAGGGAAGTGGAAACTGGAGCGGACGGGCCGACGAGGCGCAGCGATCAGTCTCCGCAACCCCGCTTATTGTAGGCGGAGACAGCCGAATGGGTTGGATCAGACTCCTGTCTGCTCTGGATTGGTCAGTGAGAGCAGTGGGCATGGTTTTGAGGGAAGAACGTGATGCGGCTGTGGACGGACAGACATCAGAGACATCGAGGAGGGGACAGAGGTAGAGAGACATCTGCGGTCAGCTGGTCATGGGGCTTGAAGTTGAGCCATTGTGCTGGGCCTGTTGCTGTATGGTGATGTGACAAGATTTCACAGGTGTCTGCTGGCTATCATAGCCAGCAGACACCTGGGAAGTCTTGTATGCTACATGCTGGGTCATTCATTGCTGTGCCTGTCATTGTCCAGCAGTACTGTTCCTGCTCTCTGTCCCTAAGGGCTTGCTCACACCAATTACAGTGCTTTCCAGAGCGGTTGCTGCACACTAAACTCCCCCCTGCGTTCTAGAGCAGGAGGAGGTGTGGTGGTGCATTGAAGTCAGTGGCACCGCAGCCATGCCAGCCCGCAGTGTGGTCACCCGCATCGGCATAGTGCATGCAGCATTTTTTGTGATCGCACTGGACCGGAACGCATGCATTGATTTGCCACACGATCCGGTGCTGGTGATCACACTGCAGACGGGGGCATGGCTGCGGTGCCATTGTCTTCAATGCACTGCCATGCCCCCTACCACCCAAGAACACAGGGGAAGTTTAGTGTGCGATACAGTGTGTTCCAGCAGCTAGAATGTGTTATTAGTAAAAAGCTATGCTCACTAGACATGTAAAAATTTGCTTTGTTTTGGATCTATTTGGATTTTTTCCCCCGTTTTCATATTATTCGGATCCACTCGTTATTCGTATTCGTAACATAGTTACATAGTATTTGAGGTTGAATAAAGACACGGCTCCATCAAGCTCATGGATGCATTCAAGTTTTCATTACTGCAAAATTTGTTTTCGTTTGCATTTGACAGTGGCGTCACAAGGGGGGTGCGGCCGGCACACGGTTGACACCATTGGAGGTGTGACACCAAAATGACTTGGAGTCATTTTGGTGTCATCCCCCTCTGAAAAGTCGGGTGCTCAGTCATGGACCGCATGACCGACAGTATCAGAAGAGAGGAGGGGACCCGGCGGCATACCTTATCCCGTGCAGTGACGTCTCGGCAGGGTGACACTAGGTTACTGCTCCGGGTGTCACCCAGCCTAGGGACGCCCCTGTACTTGGTATTTGTTTCATTTGGAAATTTGGACGCATCTGAATTCACAAAAAATTTGTCCGAAATTGAATTCGGCATGAAACAAAATTTACATGTCTAATGCCCACCTAACAAATGTTCTGAGCAAATGGGTGGCAATGGATGTCTTACAGTGACAACAGTTAAGGGGAGAGGAGGAACCTAATCTGATAGCTGTCAAATTAGGTTCAGCCCGCACTACCTGCAATGCCTTGCTACCACTTACTGTGCCTATATATGAGTCTATTTTTTCAAACAGGATGCACAGAACTACATTGTTACTGTATTATTTCCCCTATTATATACTGTACATAGTAAAGTTTCAGCACATCCATCTACAGTATGGCATTCTACATTATTCAGAAATGCTACCTAATCTAAAGTATTAACGGGCTCAGCATTCGTTAATGCACTATAAAGTACAGTGATGATGTACAGAGTACAATTACTTATAACAAGCAATCAAATTTCACTTAGCTCTAGTCAGATCTGTCAAAAGTTGGTTTATTTGCACCAGTGTACTAAATAACCCTATCAGGGTTATTCACTTTGCTGCCGAAAGCCAAGCCAACGTTCAGCTATTCACTCCGGCTCAGTACGGCTGATTTCAGCCGTACATCTACTGCCTTCAGTCAGCCGAACCTGCTCTGCAGGTTCGGCTGAGCCGAAATGCAGAGGGACTTCGACTTAGCCAATCCAACATCTGGAGCTCCGGAAGCTCACTCGCTGCCGTTCGCCCCTATTCTCATAGGGCCCCACTGGCAATGAGTGAATGGCCGAATGCAGCCGAGTGGCATTCGGCTCGGCTATTCTACTTCGTACCGCCGAGGTACAGAGCAGAATAGAAAAGAAGTGAAAAGAAGGGAGTAAAAAATTAGAAAAAATATTTTTAAAATGATAAAAAAATAGGAGAATTAAAAAAACCTAAATATTTTAAAGAAAAGCAAAAAACATCAGGCTCCGCCCAGTTGTTATTGTTTAATGACAGATCAGCGTCCCCAGGCCATTTGGGGATGCTGATGTCATTACAACTGGGCGGAGCCCAGCTGTCATTTGTGTGGAGAACAGCCGGCCCTTCAGCAAGCCGATCTCCTTCTTCGCTGTCTCTTCGGCTCAGTCGAAGAGACAGCCGAAGAGACGGCTGGATCCTTTGGCTCTTTAGAGAATAACCCCCTTTATATAAAATGAAGAAAGGCACTTTTAGGGCTTTATTAACTGAAGGCAAATAGGCAATAAACTTTGCAAAGGAATTTTCACTTTGCAGGGAAATTTATCTTAACTTAAAGAAGAACTCACAAGAAATAAATTCTTAACCCTTGCAGTGCGGCTTCCTCCGCACTGCAAGGGTTAAGTGTTCATTTTACCTAGGGAGCTAAAATAACAGACATAGTTACCTGAACCACAATCCCGGCTGACTCCTAGACTGGAGCCTTTAGCTTGTCCCTTCTTTCGCTCAAGCGATGGTATCTTCCTCTGAGTCCTAATGTCCTATACACTGTAGACGGAGCAAGCCTGAAGGGATCGGTCTTGGAGTCAGCCGGGATAGTCGTTCAGGTGAGTATAACTCTGATATTTTAGCTCCCTAGGCAAAACGAGCACTGGGTAGCCCCACTGCAAGGGTTTACTTTTATTCTGCCTGGAGTTCTTTTATAATAAATGTGGTGAAAATTCACTTTCCAAAGAATACCCAATCACGACCACCCACACAAACAAAAACCTTTATTTTTTCTTCTGCTTAATTAGATGATGGAAGTCAGCATAGCTTCCTTAAAGTGACATTAAACCCTCAGTTTTGTTAACATAAAACAATACTGTAATGTGTGCCTTACTGTAATCCATGGTTGTTTCCCTTCTCTTTGCTGCTCTTCCTTTTAAATCTGTATCTGTTCTCATGCTCTGCAGAACTTCTGTTTTGCAGCAGACTGCCTTGTCTCAGGAATGGCTACAAGGTGCCTGTGTATAGGTTTGTATAGGCTTGAAACCTGAGCCAGCCCTACAGGAAGAGGCCCTAAACTGCAAAGGGAAGTTCTCCCCCAGCATGAGAAGACATGAGGATTTAAAAGGAAGAGCAGCAAAGAGAAGGGAAACAACCATGGATTGCAGTAAGGCACACATTACAGTATTGGTTTATGTTAAAAAATCTGAGGGTTTAATGTCACTTTAAGTTAAGTGAGAATTTCCTTACAAAGTAAACATCCTTTAGTAAACCAACCCCATATACTAGAGCCTTTTGGAATAAATTAGAAGAGGAGCACATATGTCCTCATCATAATTTGAACCATTCCATTTGGGCCAAATGACTTATCTTACAAAAATACTAATATTTATAAAAACATAACCTTAAATTGATTTCTTTTGATGTTTGGAGGCTTATCCAAATGAGATCAGAGACACACTATTTATTAGCAAAATAATCAATGTGTCACTAATTTAAAGATTAAAAATAACTGGTCCACTGCAAAGAAAACATTGAAAACACTTACCTTTCCGGCTACCAGCCTTCCCTATCTGCGCTAATGAAGAAAAGCCTCTGACTGAAGATCATGCAGAATCCATCATTTGGGTGATATTTCTATTACCCCCTGAACTCACTGGTTTGATGCCCCAGGTCTTATGTCCTTTAGTAACAGTAGGAACCCCAATGCGGGGAAGTGTTGGATTTCAACCAGAGATCTTTTTTTATGAATGCAAAGGTAAGGTGAGTATTCTATGTTTTCTTTATGGGAGACTTTTTTTCCATGTTTTATTTTATCAACCTAATCAGTTGAACAGTGAATTATATGCCTATCATTAAAAAATGTTAATGTGTTCTTCTACCTGTTTTTTTTAAAATAAACTTTTGTCAATGTTTAATAGTATCCATATCTTACCGCTGTACTATCAACACTATGAGATCCATCTGGATATGTTGATATATTGTTATGTTGTTAAATTGTGCCTACCATTCATTTACTATCAAATTTGCAGATGATGCGTCTGTGTTATTGTTGTTTATATGTTGTACTGAGAATGTAATTTATTTTCCAGGACATTCATGTGCCATTCACTTTGCTCCTGGGGTAGGAGTAGACAGGACCTGTTGCCAGTGGAGCTCGATATGAACATAAAATAGATGTCATGTTGGACTAATGCAATCTGTAATTTGTAACTAGTTAAACATGTTTAAGGTGCACTTTAAATAAATAAAAATTACCTTTTGTTTTAAACTATACTGCTAAAAAAAAAATAATAATTGGTCATTGCAAAATAGTACTGTAATTATTCTTGAAAACAACAAATCAAGAGAAGGAGCTGCACATCGCAGTCGACCATCAACAGCAACTTTTAACAGTTGCTGACAGTTCTTAGCCTTATACATTGAAAGTTGCTGTTGCTGGTGGACTGTGGTGTGTGGTTCCTTCCCATGAGTTGCTGTGTTGGAAGGTGGATAGCTCCTGGCCTGCACCCCTGTGTGCCCAGGTATTGGATGTAGCTGTGATGTCTCCTTTGCACTAGTATCCTTGGAAACAGAAGCAGTTCAGGCTTAGACAACAGTTTTTATTTTGGCAGATTTATGATTAGTTATTTAAATTGCTCTTTGCTGTTCTTAGTAGTTTTTCAGCTGAGGCAGCTAATCATAGAATGCAACTAAGACAAGGGGGGTGATTTACTAACCTAAACACACTCACGCACCAGGTGCGTGTGATTTTTTACACAGCAAAGCGTATTTATCAACCAAAAAGTCTCTATAAGCATATTTCCACTAATGCCATATATGGAAAAATCATGCACATGATGCATATATAATGCTGCTTCACAGTTTAGACAAAAATGGTTAGCTCATGCATTTACATTCCTGCATTCATCAACGCAAGCAACACAATGTAGAGCTAATTTACACAACATCACCTTGCAATTCAGGGCAGGGCTTTGCACAACACACCTGCTGGGTGTGTACACACTACAAAGGTGTTTAGATTCCACCCATAGATCATGCTGGGAGGGAACACACTACAGAGGTGTATACATGTTTGTGGTGTGTTTATAAGGTTATTAAATCAACCCCAAGGAGTCCTGTCAGCTGCACAGTACACATAGCTGCATGGGGCAAATTGTATATCTTTTAAGAGAAAATGTTCATAGACCCCAGCAAATATACAAATATGGGATACTGTCATGCATCAGTAAATAAAATAAACAGCTGACCTCAAAGAAAAGATCCCTACATGTAAAAAGGAAAATTAAATGAACTAATGTACACACAAACTACAACCAATATGTTTAGTCAGCTGTTTCATTAAATATTTTTTGAACATCCGCAGGCTATGACCTAGCGTAGTCAAGGATAAAGAAATGTTACGCATTAATTTACATTTTCTTGTGACTGCATTGGTAAGAGATTATATACTGTACAGATAATTCTAGTTCTGTCTAGACTTGTGCGCCGTCAAAAAATGTGTTTAGTTTCGTTTCGGTATATCCGTTATTTCGTATTTTTGTTAGTTTCAGCACATTTTCGTAACCTTACGAACATTCGTTATGATGAAGTTAAAAAGCAAAAATACCTTTGTTAATATTGGAGTTGATGTGGTAGTTGTTTTTTTTTAATCCGAAATACGAATTCCGTTAATGGATTCCGGATCCGAATTTCGTATTTCGGATAAAAAAAAAACTACCATCAACACCAATATATTAACAAAGGTATTTTGCTTTTTAACTTCGATATAACGTATGTTTGTAATGGAACGAAATTCCGTTGACGGAATTTCGTATTTCCTGCCTGTATTGTAATGCAACTCTCAGCAGCAGAAGAGACAACCTCTGATTGGTCAACCAAACGAAATACGAATTCCGTTAACGGATTCCGGATCCGAATTTCATATTTCGGATAAAAGAAAAAACTCACCAACTCCAATATTAACAAAGGTATTTTGCTTTTTAACTTCAATATAACGAATGTTTGTAACGGAACGAAATTCCGTTGACGGAATTTCGTATTTCCTGCCTGTATTGTAATGCAACTCTCAGCAGCAGAAGAGACAACCTCTGATTGGTCAACCAAACGAAATACGAATTCCGGATCCGAATTTCGTATTTCGGATGAAAGAAAAAACTCATCAACTCCAATATTAACAAAGGTATTTTGCTTTTTAACTTTAATACAACGAATGTGCGTAACGGAATTTCGTATTTCCTGCGTGTATTGTAATGCAACCCTCAGCAGCAGCGGATCCGTATTTGGGATTAAAAAAAAAAATCTTGTCATGTTGTTAACCTCATTTACAGGGGTAATATTAGTTCCCGTTTCAAAGAAATTTGGATCCAAAATTCATTCGGAAACTGCAATTCGGATTTCGGATGCTTCCGAATTTACGAATTTCAGGGAAATTCGTATGAATTTCGATTCGTAACGAAACGAATCGCACATGTCTAGTTCTGTCACATTAAGAGAATCTGTCCTTAAAATAAACACAAAACTGTTAAACTAATGAGGTGTAGGTGCTTAGTCTCAGCAGCCTCCCAAACCCTCCTATTACAGTCAAATCTCAGGCCATTCTGACAAGTAAAGCTTCTGCATTACTTTATAGTGTCAGAGCTTGCCTATCCCTACCTTCCTCCTGTACACTAGACATGCAAATTACGTTTCGTTCCGAATGGATATTCAGACAAATTCCGTTAAATTCGGACATTCGGATGAATCCGAATTTTCGAATTGAACGAGTCGGAGTGCGAATAAATCTGAATGTACATTTAAGGAAAATTTAGATCTGTCCAAATATCATTCAAAACAAAACTGAATGAGATATGTGACTGTTCTCTGGCTGTTGGGGGTTGCAGGCTTGGACATGTGACTTCATGGCGAGGAGTAGATAGAGTTGATAAGAACAGCAGAAGAGCACACGGTATCAAAACTAAAATTACCCCCCCAAAAAAAAACCAAAAATAATTTTGTTCATTTAAAGAACCCCCCATCCGAATAGATACAAAATAAAAATTCAATTCGTTCTGAAACAATTCGGATGGATCAAAAATCCAAATAACATACCAAATCGAATTTCTTATCCTAAATCCGAAAAACTAAATACATAAAAATCTGACTTAATCCGAAATGAAACAAATATTTTGCCGGGTTACATGTCTACTGTACACTTCTATTGTTGAGTAAGGCTGCCCAACATAGTATTGGACCAATGGTAATATGGTGGGGCAGGGCTTAACTGTAAGCTTCAACTCTGTCAGTGAACTCTTGGAGCTTTGCCTTTCAGAAG